GTCTGTGTCGCTGTAGGGTGAGCCTGGGGGTCCGCGTGAGCCTGCGGGGTTGGGGGGGAATGTGTCTCGGCGGACGCTGCGAGCTGTGGGGAGGGCTGCGTACCTGGTGGCAGGTGTCGGCCGAGCGGGGGACACGGCTGGGGCCGGGCTGGGGTGCCCTGGGGACGGGGGCGGGCGCAGGGCGAGTGGAAGCGAGGATGCGGGGTGCGGGACCCCGGAGCGCACGGAGCGTCGCCGCAGGTGTGCACCTGGCGCTGCGGCTGCGGGTCGCAGGTTGTGCCGTGCGCGTGTGTGTTTTGTGCCTGCGGACCGTGGGGTGTCTCGCAGCCCTGGGGCCCAGCCTCCTTGCCTTGCCTCTCCGCCTCCCGCCGCCCCGTTTCCGCTGAATCCTCTGCCTCGGGCCACCCGCTGGCCGCCGCTTCCGCTCCCACCGGAGGAGCCTGGCTGGGGAGGGCTGGGCGAGGCGGCCGAGGGGGATGGGGCTCGTGTCAGACGGTGCCGGTGACCTTCCTGCTGTCGGTCGTGCAGTGGGGAGCGTGATGGGTGCGAGGGCTTTGTGTGTGCACGCCTGCACACTTGCCCACGGAGGATGAGGTGTGTGTCACTTAATGATGTGCGTGCCCCTCTCTGCCCTCGATGTGGTGTCTCAGCTGGCTGGCTTGGACAAACTGTGGTTTTGAGGGGTGTGTGTACAGCTGTCTGCTCTGGGTTCTGTGAGTGTGTTTGGTGTGACCGGCCCTTCTTCCCCCAGAGGTGTCCGGGAGCAGCGAGAAATAGATATGAGGGGCTGCCTCCATCCTACCGTGGAGATTCTAGTCCCGCAGTGTGGCCTGCGAAGTCCCTTGCTCGGTTAGGGTAACCACCTGCCCCATGGAGCTTATCCCAGGCCCTACCAGCCTCTGAGGCATGGATCCAGCCAAAGCAGAGCCTGGAGTGCTGCTGTGGCCTTGGAAGAGCCACCCCAGGGATAGTCCCAAGGAGAACACTGAAGCGCCTTCGGCTCTGAATGGTAGTAGCAAGGGATCGTGACTGTTTGCTGACAGCCACCCTGCAACAGGTCGCTCTAAATTATTTGTGTTTTCATTTCATCATCGTAAAAATCCTATGGGCTTTGCATCCTGCTCCCCCTTTACAGGTGAGGGAACTGAGGCCGGGGAAGACGGCAGGACTTGCCCAGGGCTACCCAGCCAGGAAGGGTGTGAGCCAGGATTAGAACCCAGGAATGTCTGACTACAGCCACCTGCTGTTGCATTCTTACCACCTTGGGATTATGGCCTTTCACTCAATGTGGGGTCTCCCTCCCAAGGAAGTCCATGTACTGTAGTCTGCCGTGTGGCTGTACCATGATGCTTAACCAGCTCCCTGCTGATGGCCATTTGGGGGTGTTTCCCGCCTTTTGCTATTAGATACAAGGCTCTCCTGAACAGCTTTTCCTGTGTTTAATATTTTGGTGAGCATTTTAATGGGAGGATAAATTACCAGAAGTGGGACACCTGGTCAAGGGTAAGTGCATTTGTCAGTTTAATGCACACTGCCAAGTCACCCTCCATAACAGCTAGGGAAGGGGGGTGCCTCCAAGCAGCCTCCCTTCAGTGCTTTCCCCCCTTCTTTGTAGATGCAAGTCACCCCTCTGGCTGCTCCTATGGGTGCCCCGTCCAGGAGGAAGCGGTTGGAGTTGGACAGTGACCTAGACACCGAATGTCCCACCCGGAAACAAGCTCGAAGTGGGCCCCAGCCCCGGCTGCCCCCCTGCCCGCTGCCCCTGATCCCACCCCCTGCTCCAGCCCAGGCCCTCGCTGTGACCACTGCCTCCCGGCTTGGGCCCTATGTCCTCCTGGAGCCCGAGGAAGGTGGCCGAGCCTACCGTGCCCTGCGCTGCCCCATAGGCACGGAGTACACCTGCAAGGTGGGTCCCCTGGGGTCACTCTCCCCCAGCATCACAGGGGCCTGGAAAGGGCCTTGGCTCCAGAGGACTGTCAGGGTGGAGGGGTCCTTAGGGTTACTTTGTTCCTGTGTTTACTGGGGAAGCAGTCAGTGAGCCTCCAGCTCTCTGTCAGGCCCTGGCCTGGGCTGAGGCCAGAGAGGTAAACCCGACAGGTCCAGCCCTGGGGGATGCGCAGCTTAGGCCCATAGTATGATACAGGCCATAGGGGTGGAGCCTAGGGGCCGTGGGAGCACAGAGCAGGAGCCTCCAGTGTATTCAAGGCGGGTGTCAGAAAAGCTGAGCAGGAGTTAGCCAGGGAGACATGAGAGAATGGAGATCCGGGCAGGGGAGGCCGCCGTGCAGAGGCCTGAGGAGCAAGAGCGTGTGAGGCATCAGAGGGTTCGAAGGACTTCACCCCGGCCAGACTGGAGAGGGGCAGGAGGGGAGGGCCGGCGGCCACCGGTTGTGAAAGCATGAGAAAGGAGCTGGCCCTGGGCTGCGGGAGCCACTGAAGATATTTGCACAAGGGAAGGGTGAGGTGGGGTAGACATCAGAACTCCTGGGACCCTGGAGGTCATTGGGCTTAGCCTGTGACCATTTCACAGATGGAAAGACTGAGGCCAAGAAGGAAGGGCCAAGCACGAAACCTCACTGTATCGGGCCTGGCTCCTAGGGCAAAGTCCAGGGTTCTTGGCAGAAATCAGGAAATGGGCAAGTGAGGGGCGCCTGGGTGGCTCAGATGGTTGGGCGTCTGCCTTCGGCTCAGGTCATGATCCCAGGGTCCTGGGATCGAGTCCCACATCAGGCTCC